CCCCCCCCCCCCCCCCCCCGGCTACAAACATCATTTTTCAGGTTCTCGAGCCTCGAGAGAGAGAGCCTTGAAAGCCAGAGAAAAACTCGCTTTTGCCTTGGGCATCTCGGAAGGGCAGTCCCGGGACAGGAAGTCAGGCTGCGGCAGAGAGGGGCATCGAACCGGAACCTCCCTTCTCTGACGCCGCTTGCCAACACCCCTTTTCTTTCTGTTCCTTGCCATTTTAGGTCTGGGTTTTTGCTCAGGACATTGCTCTCCCTGGAATAACTTCCTGCCCTACCCACTTGGTAAACGCGTCCTGTCCCTTTAATTCTGCTGGAAGGGGTCACCTTCTTGGGAAGCCTTTACCAACTCCCAGCTTTACCCTTCCCCACCCCCCCACCCCCACCCCACCCCCACTACTCGCCCTGGGCTCCTACCTACCTACTGGGTCCTCCACTGAAGCAGCTGTCACTTGCTTGTGGAGCTATAGTCTCCCCCCGCCCCCTAGGTTGTGACTTTTGGTCCCTCTCTTTCCAGGGCGTTTCTTTGACAAATATTTTCTGAGCACCCATTCTGTGCCTGGTACAGGCGCAGGGGTGTGATGGTGAGTGAGGGAGCTTGGCCTCCACTCCCATGGGGCGGCCAGTCTGCAGGGAAGCGTGACAGTTACAGAGGCAATTGCGATCAACGGTGACGCGCACAGTCCCCCGGAACTGGGGACCCCGGCAGCATGCAGCAGGGATATCCACTCCAGTTGGAGATGGGAGTATCCGGTAAGGCTTCCTGGGAGAAGTGACTTTTCATTTGAGGCTTCCAGGAGGAGCAGAGCTCACTAGATGGGTGAGGAGTTGAGAGGGAGGGGGTCAGGAGCACGTGCAGACCTGGGGGCACGGGGAAGGGGGCAGATGTTGGGGCTGGATGGTGGTGGGCTGATAGGCAGAGTGGGAGAACTGGCTGCGGAGACAAATCCGTCAAGAAGTTCAGCTGCAAAGGACCAGGGAAAGAAGGGGGGGGGGGCGGTGCACAGCTGGAAGGGCATAAGAGAGAGAAGAGCATGTTAATGGCCGATGGGAAGGGTGAGAACGGTGTCATAAGGGAGGGAGGGTTTCGAGTTTTGCTGTATAAAACAGGCTACGACACAATAAAACAAAACTAACCGAAACAATAAAACAATTCAGTTCTTTGGCTGCATTAGCCACATTTTAGGTGCTCAGCAGCCACAGGTGGCTAGTGGCTAGGAAAGCACAGATACAGAATAGCTCCAGCATCCCAAAGAGATCTGTTGCACAGCGTGCCCTAGACTTCGAGCAGCTGGGATCCAGAGTCCGAGAGCGGGACCGTCTGTGGGATGGGCAAGGAGATGCTCTCCCATTAGACCCAGAGGGCAGGTGGACAGGATGGGATGGACAGATGCCGGGGAGTCTAGTCTGTGACTCCCATGGTCTCCTTGAAGCAGAGGGGGAGGGGCAGGTGGGGGGCTGATGTGGACGCTGAGTGGAGAAGGGAGCGCTGCCACAGGGGGTAGGGTAGGCTGGAAAGCAGCTGGCCAGGAAGACGTCACATGACTAGCAGAGAAGGGCCAGCTTGGATTCCTAGTGGACTGATGTTAATCTAGGCAGCCGTGGCAATGGCACAGGGGGACCGAGGACCCTCAAAACCGTGGCTGGCTGGAGGGAGGGGGCCCAGAGCCGAGGGCCTCAGAAGACGGGTGGCTTTGTGTCTGGTGACAGGGAGGCCCTTGATGTGCCCAGGAAGTTGGGGGCCGAGGAGAAGTCACTGGAACGGGAGATCTAGCTATCAACCGCTGAGAAGCAAACTCGCAAGATGTCGTGACTTACAACGTCAACATTTAGTTTGCTCATGAATTGCTACTTGGACCGTGCTCGGCAGGGATAGCTTGTTGATTCCACTCAGCGTCAGCTGGGCAGCTTGCAGTGATGGCACTTGGCATTGAGTAGGGTGGCGCAGAGGCAGGGGGTTGGAATCATTTGAAGGCTTACTCGTTCACCTATCTGGTGGCTGGTGGCTGGTGGCTGGCGGTTTGCTGGGACGTGAACTGGGGCCGTTGGCTGGAACACCCTCCTTGGCGGCTTCATGTGGCCTGGGCTTCCTTATAACATGGTGCCTGGGTTCTAAGGGTTACTGAGAGAGAGAGAGAGTCAGATGGATGCCGTATCTCCTTTTACGATCTAGACTAGGAAGTCAGCAGCACGGCTTGGGCCCCATTCCACCCGTGGAGGCAGTCGCAAAGGATGGGCCAGGTTCAAATGAAGGAGGAACAGACTCTTCCTCTTGAAGGGGGCTGGTGGCAAAGTTCTGGAAGACCAGAGCCGCGTGCGACCAGAAACAGTGCTGTGGCCATTTCTGGAAAGTGCAACGTGTCACGGAGCCCAAGCAGCGAGAAGCCAAGGTCTTATCTGTTCCCAGGAGAGGAGATAAAGACGTTGGGCCAAGTTCAAATTCCTTCGATTCACTCATCCCACTAAGATTTATTGAGCACCTACTATGTTCCAAGCTCTGTTTTAGGTGCTGGGGATACACCTGGACAAAAATCCCAGCTCTTAAGGAGATGACGCGGTTGTGGGGAAGACTGAGTTAGAACAAGGCGCCCCCCCCCCC